TACCATCAGCTGGATCATGATGTGATCAAAAACTGATAACTCAGTCTTGAATAAATTTAAAGACATGACCTCCGCCTTCTGGGGAGAGAATTTCACACTCCAATAACCCTCAGAGGAAAATAATCTTCCATATTTGAAGTTAAAGGGAAACTTCTTATTCTTAAGCTATGTCCCCTAATTCTCCTCTCCCCACATAAGGAAACATCCTCCTGGCATCCATTAATTAAACTTGATTTCTCTTTCACAAAGTCATGCTGGTCTACCTGATCACATTATGGTTTTCTAAGCAGCCTGCTCTAACCTTCTTAATAATGCAAGGCTAACCGCCCTAAGTACTCAGTCAAGTCTCAATTCTTTCAGACCTATATAAAACATACTGCCCCCTCTACAACCTTCATGTCTTCTTTCCATCATAATTATTTTCTAATTTACATTTAGGACATCATCTCCCCCAAACAAAAAAAAGTTCAGAATTCTCCCCAAACATTTTTTCTTTGAATAGGGAAGAAGGGCAATTTCTTCAGCTGTTGACTTGGTCTGTCTGAGGCACGCAGTGCTCACTTGTGTTTTGACATCTTGTACTTATTTCACAGAGGACTTAGGTGATGCACATCTACTCCTAACAGCTGTCAATGTTTCCTCTATTCTTAGTGGAGTATTCCATGCAATTGGATACATCAAACTTTCACTTGGGTCAGCAAAACTTGGTTCTCAATTTATCTATAGATTTGTGTTGACATAGGTAAATTTATTTCTTCAACTTCTTGAATATTGTGGAGCGGCATGGTGGCTCAGTGGTTAGCACTGCTGCCTCACAGCGCGAGGGTCCCGGGTTCGATTCCACCCTCGGGCGACTATCTGTGTGGAGTTTGCACATTCTCCACACGTCTGCATGGGTTTCCTCTGGGTGTTCTGGTTTCCTCACACAGTACAAAGATGTGCAGGCTAGGTGGATTGGCCATGCTAAATAAAAATGCCTGTAGTATTCAGGGATGCCTAGATTAGGGAAGTTGTAGAGGGGGATGGGTCTGGGTGGGATGCTCTAAGGGTTGGTGTGGATTTGTTGGGCCAAAGGGCCTGTTTCCATGCTGTAGAGGTTCTATGAAAATGAAAAAATCTTACTGGAAACAGTGTTGTTCACTGCAGCTCACAATGTTGTGGCAGCGATCCACCATTGTCACCGTTACTTCATGCTTGAAGTGGATTAGGATATCTGTCTCTCTGGTCTAACTCGAAGAGTCTTGTTGAGTAAATAGTATGAAGTTTACTATATTACTGTAACTGTTTACACATTACATGACCTACATTACTACAGAGGCTGCTGCTAGCACCACAACCCCAAACCTATTTCCAAGTTGTTTCTTTACTCTCTGATCAAATCCTGGTGACATCCTTACAGTAGATGGTGCTTACTACACTCAATTAAGATTGACCTTTGTTGCAGACCCATATACAGCACTGGAAACTTTGCATGTATCCAATAATTTATGGGAGGAAAAACAGTGCAGAATGAACACAGTCATCCAGAATTCCATGGAACAGGGCAATTGAGCAATAATGGAGAAGGAATTCAGAAACTATTATAATCAAATTAGATATAGGAAGTGACATAGCACTCATAGTACTGTTAAGAAGGTAAATGATTTTGAAGTGACGTCACTATTTACAGAGCAAACACTCACTTTAAATGCAGTGACATTTTCTTAAATCCATCATAGAAGACAGTAATGACACAATTAGAAAAATAACTGATGCTGCTTGCACAGATCACTGCTTCTAAGTTATTCATATCATTTCCTCTTATTACTGCCAGACTGGTAGCTGCATTATTCAGCACTGTATTTATGACATCAACGCAATTAATAAAATTCAGTTCCGCAAACTCTGGAATGTTTTATATTATTCAAATTATATTTGAATAAACACACAAGAAAATAACTGCTTCCTTTTGTAAATATAATAATAGTTTTTGGTATTACATTAAGGCTAGTCTTAGAAGAGTCTGCAGTTATTATTCACTCCAGTTTAACTAAAACTAATCAATGACATTCAACAGAATTGTTAATATTCAAATGGTTTTTAACAAATTTGAGCTGTTTGTGAAATCTAACTGCCATGAATTAATTTTTTTATATTCACAAATACATTTTGTTCTGTAGTCAATCTGTACTTTTTACAGGTTACCATGAAGTTACTGTTTATGTGTTTATTTTAACTTAAAGTTGGACTGATGCTATGTGCTTACACAGTCATTACAAAATAGTCCCATTTGAAAGAATTGTTTGCATATTTAATTTTACTCAATAGTGGGCCAGAGTTTCAAATAAGCAGAATCATAAAAACATGACTTAAGGCCAGATTTGCCTCAGGCTACTACCTTCCTTCAAATGTGCTGGGAAAGACTTTGTCAGACTATTGTTTTGTATTAAAAACTCATGTGTTTGTTCAGCACAACATGGGTCGTTGCAATGAGTGAATGATGTCTTTGACATGGCAAACCTCTAATTGTAACAAGTCCATACCAACTAAGTTTTACCAGATGCTGAAATGGGTTTGATTAACAACCACACTGGATTCCATGTACAATCTGATAATGATGGTTTTACTGCTCAATATTAAAAACCTCAGCTTTTATAAAGGAAACATTATGTCAGCAAAATCAGGATTACAATTTTCAGACTAAAGTTCACCTCTACCCTACTTAACCATGGAATTCTTTTAAAGAGACAGTATCCTCTTTTACGTGCCTATCCAAAATATTTTATCCTACCCTAATCATTTTTTAAAACTTATTATACCTTACTGGTATTAGATATTTGGTGAATATTGAATTCTGGTTTCATAAACCCATACTATCAGCCTCAAACATTGATAACTCTCTGAAAGAGCAAATGAAATAACTCTTAAAAATCTGCATTTATATATTTATGTATAAATATAAATGCTGTTTAATTATTTAATTAAAATATGTAAGGTTGAACAAAATGCATATGTTTTACATGATTGACAAAATAAGTTTGGTCCAATAGCCCTTTAAAAACAAGTTGAAGTTCAGTAACGCTGTGACCTACTTTGCATAACTTATTTAACATACTTCGACATTTATACCAAGCTGAAATAAAATTACATACATCAGGATCCAACTTGTATAAACCAACAATACTTCTGAAATATAATCCTTGAAATAATCCAGCCATTCTCTTGATCTCCATTCCAGATTTCATAAAGATATTTCTGCTTCATGATGCTTTTAATTCAAATAGTTAACCTTTTGAAAATTCGTTTTTAAAAGAAAATCAATCAATCAATCATTCATGGTTCAATGTCAAGACTTGAACATCTGAAGAGTTAAATTTGGACTCCACAAAATGCTATCAATTTTCCACAAGGAATGCTACCGTTAAACGGTCTTGCAATTTCTACAATCATATCTGCTAGACAGGTGTTCTACTCTTCTGCCAGTAAATGATCTTTTTTCCGCAAAAGCTCATGCACATAAGTGGAGGAAAGCAGAGCTATTTTCTTGTTGATTTACATCAAGTATTTTCAAAGGTCCACTCAACAATCATATTTTTACATATTCACATTCTTCAGATCAAATTCTTCCCTTACATTGATGTAAGAAATCACCTGTGTAACAACAATACAAAAGGCTACAAACGCAATTTTTCATCATCTTTTCTGTTATGAAGGCCTAGAATGTAATATTGACAAAATCAAAAGCAAATTCAATGAGACCAGGATAACTTGCCCAGCACAAGCATAAATCTCCCATGCAATTCCCACACAGTCACTGCAATGGAATTTCTGAGGGGCCCTGATGTGCATCTTGTGGAGTATGTCCAGTCACCAGCTATTCAGATATTAGAAGGACTGGGCCAATTCATCTGCGCTACAAACAGAAATTGCTGCAACCAGAAATGGATAACCTTAACTCTGTTTCTTTCTCCAAAGAGATTGTATTTAATTCACTAACACTTCCTTTCCAAGAAGGATCAACTTGAACAACTGTCTCTTTTCTCTCCAGAGATCTTCATTTGTCTCTTTATTTTGTTCTTCTCCTCCTCCCCCACCACCATCACCACCAAAAACCACCATCCACCCAAAACTTTTTTCTGCATCTGGGTTTACATAAAACCTGTTATATTTGTACGATATTCCAGTTCTGATGAAAGGTCATTGGCATGAACTGGGAACTGTTTTCCTCTCTACAGATCCTGGCTGAGCTGTTGTATATTTCCAGCTTCCATCAGATTTTGTATCTTTCATCAGTGCAGCATGTTGAGTAAAACGTCTGTTTGTTTATGGATACTCAATATGTATTACCCTCTAATACATATTACTGCTGTTATATATCCTTACAATATGCCCACTGCCAAATATGTTTATTAACATTTACATTATACATCCTGCATTGCTTCCTTGTAACATTTCTCAGCCAAGCACAGGCTAATTTATTTATAGCAATTATAAATATTTCCAAATGTACTAATCTGCAAATGCTTATCTCAAATTGAGTCATTTCACCACAATTGATTCTCAGCCCTGAAACACCTAAGTCCCAGCTTAAAGCTGTGACAAAATTTAGTAGTTTTGGAAAATCAAGTTATTTCAACTTTGCACTAAATGTAGTTCTTCTTAAGTTCATTGCGACATTTCTTTATTTGTTAGCATGACACCCTTACCTCTTTTTTCATATTTACTTATAACCTTGCCTGTTCATTTATTTCCTCCATTACTGTTGTCTTGAATAAGCTTTCATTCCCTTGTCTAGTGTGATTCAGAGAGCAGATATATGGCTGGGTAAATTATCAACCAAGCTAAGTATGGGAGTGAATCCTGAAGTCACTGCTTCCTTAGGTCACACAGATGATATCACTAACACCTGTTTCTGTAACCCAAACAGAAGGAACATAACTCTTGAGCTCACGAGAGTGCAAGCTGCAATTAAACCTTGCTGGCTTGTCAAAAGCACAATTCATTCATGTTTTTCTTAACAGCTCTCACTGGAGGATCCTGCAACTTAGCTTCACTAAAGCAATTACCATGTAAGTGTCAGATATGTTTATCTCCTATTTTAATTTTGCCACAGCCCCAGTGCACATTAATTACACTCAGCCATCCTGAAATCATCTGTTACATTTTGTTTTAAGTGCTGTATTTCTATGACTATTTTTAATTGTGTATCATAGGTAAAAATTCGTAGCAACTTCAGCAAAATTGCACGTCTGGATCTGTAAAACATGTAATTTCACTACTCTCAAACAATCTGAGGAGTGTATAAATGTGGACTCTACGCTGACACCAAACAGTAACTGAATGACAATATCAGAACTCTAATTTTTTTTCCATTATTAATTTTATATTATTGCTTAACGTGTCGAGTTTTCAATATTCCACCATTACCGAATTCAATGAAATCTTGGACTGGTTTCTCTGAGTCACAATTCTATGGTCTGTGGGTCAATGTCTCTAAGGTGCTTTCAAAACTTTTAAGACAATTATCTTCTCCGTGAATTTCATCTACAAGTATAATGGGAACCTGTAACCAATTTGTTAATGACATCTGCTCAATAACATCTACCATTTGAAATGGGCAAGGGCAAGCTTTCAGAGGAACTTTACTCTATAAAGAGACATGGAAACCAATTTAACTTTTCAGTGTGGCAGCTATTAGCATGGAAAGGTTGTGCAAATACTGCAAAAGGATGAGAAACTCCAGGCCTCTCTCACCGTGTCAAACATAAATAAACTCCAAAAGTAACCAACAGCTAATATGTTTGTTGTGCATTGCAGGCAGGTGAAGAAACACCTTCATGCCAGATTAGCCTGGTGACTCCCAGAGGCACAATATCACCGGAATAAAATCCAAGGACCTATGATTTATATGTAAAACTCAGTGAACTTGTTTATCAAGTGGTGTTTTTTTAAAATCACAGCTGCTATGTCCAGGGTCATTATACGAGCTCAGGAACTTACAGCACAGGAAATTTCATTGGATTGAAACTTCTTAATGCAACTATATAAAAGATAATTTAAACTTCTGAAATAAATCCTCTTATTCTCAAACTAGATTTAAAATCTTGTCTCTTTAATATTTGATATACTGCAACAAGCCGTATAATGTTACTCACTGATTTATGCATGACCTCCACCATTTGCATCCTAAATTAATCAACACTAGCCAGATACAACCACACCTAAGTTTCAGCACTGGTCAAAAAAAAAGTCAGTCTACCACCTTTCCCAGCAATACTTGGGACATTTCATCCAACCTCTGCTCTATCTTTTTAGAACCCCTTCTCCTTTTTGCCCGTAGGCCCACTGTTGCAACATGTTTCACAGTCATCAACATACTTGTAAGAGATATGCTCATGATATCATCATCGTTATAGCATGTTTTTGGAGGATATAAAGGTCTTTTTTTTAATTCATTCACGGGTTGAGGTCCTCACTGGTTGGGCCAACATTTATTGCCCATCCCAAACAGCAGTTAAGAGTCTACCACAGACAAGGTGGGGATGGGAGTTCCCTTCCTTAAAAGACATTAGTGAACCAGATGAGTTCTTTTAACAATCAGCAATGGTTTCATGGTCATCATTGGTCTCTTAATTCCAGACTTTTTTTTATTGAATTCAAATACCATCATCTGCCGTGGTGAGATTCAAACCTGGGTCCCCAGAACATTACCTGGGTCTCTGGTTCAACAGTCCAGTGAGAATACCACTAGGCCATTGCCTCCTTATACTCCATATTACTCTGGGATTACATGAGCAAAGCACACTCCTTTAATATAACATTAACTTAACACTTACGGTGTCAGAGAGATGTAATGTTTGTACTTAATTATAATAAACATAGTTTAATACTTAACTATAATAAATACCAGTTGCATTTTTCAATACCATGACATCCATGCACAGTTTCTTAGGTTATGAGGGCTAACATAAGCATTGCCGCATCATACAAAACATCCTGTTGAGGCAAAGTCACATCAGGTACCAGATCACTCCTCACTCCCTCTTTCCTATCAAAATCCTACCTAATATCTTGGAGAACAACAACTAGGTATTGTCCAACAAAATCTTGTGCAGGAACCAGTTTCCCATCATCTCCCCCACTGTAGTTGGCGGATTCCACTATCCTGGCTCCTATGACTATGGGTACATGGTTGTCCTTATTCCACCGCGAGTACAATTCCATGAGTAAGTTACTATTAACAATTAAAATGGCAGGTTCTTTCAAATTTTAGTTATGGCTATGTTTACATTTTACATAACTGGGTTTATTTGACTCCTTGTAATTTATTTTGAAGCTCAGAGTTTATAATATTTATGGATTTATTTATTGGATGTTCATATAATACTTCATACTGGAGGATTCCATTTATCCCTTTTACAGAGAGCAAAGACAAGCAAACCGATCTCTGAAATCTGGATCAATACCTCGCCCTATTGTTGCCTGATGGGAACAGAGTTCCCACCTGAGCTGTCCACCACCACCCCACCGATTGTACCTCTGACGGACGAGAGGCTAGACTCTGTCCTCTCATTACTGGATTAAGATCCAGTGCAGAGTGGTACGGTGAGCCCCCATCCTGTATATACCATTACGTTTGATTGATCTGCAATAAGATTCTCTTAAGCCTGAGATGAAATGTATTTTCAATTGGGATATGCTCTGAATATAAAGCAAAATTTTTAATTGTGGATTACTTAAACTATTCTCAAAATGTCAGCTGTCAAGATGCTTGAAGCAATTGGAACAGATGTGAATAATGGTTTCAAAATGTACTTGAAAACTTTATTTTACTGTATTGTTCCTTGAGACTTCAACTTTTAAGTGAAATTTTGATTATGCACAAATGTTCAGTTTGCGGAGTATACTTAGACTTACTACAACGTATTTCTATACAATTTTTGTAGATTATTAAGCTACAGCTACATATTAAATGCATTAAATACCTAGTATAATCTGTATATACCTAATATGTAGATCAATATACTATCTTAATATCATGTTGCTATGGTTTTGATCCTTTACCTTCAGGAAAAGTGTGGCAAAAAGCTAATTGCTGTGTTCTGAAGTTTAGCACATTCATGAAAGCCAGGGTTGAGGCAATAGCTTGTTTTTTTTCCTCAAAAATTGCAAAGAAGTAATTATTTGTAATTTGTTCAACTAATAGAGAAACCCTTCAGATCCTTTTAATTAAAACAGATAGTCTGATCATGTGCCTCTCTGCTCCTATGATGCTGCTTGGCCTGCTGTGTTCATCCAGCCCTGCACCTTGTTGTCTCGGATTCTCCAGCATCTGCAGTTCCTACTATCTCTGATTCAATTTTAACCCCACTGCGAAGCCTCTTCTAAGGATGCCTAACCTGAAGAAGTTACCCTCCTCCCTCCGGACAAACCTCAAGGGATCTCTCTCCCACTGCAACTCTCTCGTAATCTCTTCGGCCCTGAAACTGCTCGACCACGTCCTGAAGCAAACCAGGTACTACAGCCACATCACCTTCCTTAGCACCTGCCTACGGAACCAGAGCCTCTCTGCTCCTATGATGCTGCTTGGCCTGCTGTGTTCATCCAGCCCTGCACCTTGTTGTCTCCTAGTCTGATCATGTAGCTCATTGCTGTTTGCAGGAACTTGCAGTTCACAAACTGGCTGCCGCCCTTCCCTCTGTTAAAGCAGTGACTTCAAAAGTACTTCCTTAATTGGAAAGCACTTTGGGATATACTAATTGATCTTCTTTAAATGATACTAACAAAAATGTGGGCAAGCATGAGAAAAGTGCAGCACTTTCTTAAAAATGACTTTTTTAAAGTGACAGAATACAGTACTTATTACCGTAACAGTTTCATATACAATAAAATGTGAAATAAAGATATCACATTATTCTGAGCTTTGAGGATTCCTTCCTCAGTACAATCTTTCAATATTTCTTCACTTCTCCAAATTTGACATTTTGAAGGCAACACCAAAGCAATTTATTTTTATGAGATAGTAGGAACTGCAGATCCTGGAGAATCTGAGATAACAAGGTGTAGAGCTGGATGAACACAGCAGGCCGAGCAGCATCAGAGGAGCAGGAAGGCTGACTTTTCGGGCCTAGACCCTTCTTCAGAAATTTATTTTTATGGTTGGTTCTGTTTGCTTTGCAATAAAAATACAGGTCCTGTTTGAGTATAGCTCAAAATTATTTGTCACATACACAGACACACACCTACCAGTCAGTCTGTAGGAGGGAGTAAGAGCGTATAGACATCAGCCAACTTTGTTTAAAATGTATTAAAAACACTTAAGAGTATTTTCAGTTGAGATGATTCATTACAGATTTTCAAACCTGACAAGAACAATATCCCCCTAAGCTGCGAAGCAACTGGGACTGTACTAGATACAGAACAAACAAGCCACATACAAGCAAAATCCACTTTAAACTGCATGAATGTTCAGCCATCTGCTGGCTATCTACAGTCAACAGTAGCTAGAGGGAATATTTAAAAGGGGAGTGAAATACATAACCAGTTCTGAGAGGCATGTTGCATTTAACAAATGGAAGACACTGACAGAGTTTGGTCAATATCAAAGTGAAGTGTTTTAAAGCACTTTAGTATGGCAATGTGAATTTAATGCAATAAAATTCACAAGCTGCTTCATGAGAGTATTATAAAACATTATACAATGTTGAGCCATGTCTATGCCAGCAACATGGGCAACATGGTTGGAAGTTTACCATACAGAAAAGTCAGGTTGTCAGAGACAAACTTCAAGGTACAAGACCAACTCTTGATTATATTGGTTCATTTGTTTTATCATGTTCTGTCAGAATTCAGGGCATTACAGTCATTTATTCAATATGACACTTGCTAGCTGAGCAATGAGCAAATCAAGTAACAATTGTACACAACTTCCTGAACACTAATTTCCTCGTTTTAAACTTGGGCATACCGAACATTGTCCTGTCTTCCCAGATAGTCATCAGCCTCTGGTTCTGTTTGGATCACATGGCTCATGAACAGAATGAATAAGTGCTTTGTTAATAAGGCCTTGTGATAGTAAGCCAACCTTAGTGGTCCAGTGGAATGACCACAACTTCTGTTGGTACAGAAATGTAAATATCAGGATAAATATCTTTGTGGTTATTAAGAATTTTAAATTTGCAACTCAAAGTCATCTTAAGTTAACTCAGACTCTCCATCACTTTAATCAGTGAAGTTTTCAAATGAGTAAACACTGACTGAATAATTGTACACTAGTTACAAACACAATCAATCACATTAACAAAATTATATCTGAACCAGTTGGGGTGTTGGGGGTGTTGGGGGGGTTGGGGTGTTGGGGGGGTGGGGGGGGAAGATGTCAGCTGATGATACATGCCCCCAGTATGCCTCTAATATCTGGATTCAGTTTGCAATTTAAAAATCAGTGCATGTTCTACTTCAAGTTACATCCATTCACTATAGCTGTAAGAAATAACTTTGCTAGAATACAATGCCTGCTGGCTACAGATAAAAAAAATTATCATTTTTTTTCTTTCAAACAACTATTTAGCTGTTAGAACTTAGTCTTTCCCATGAGACAGACTAACTTGCCAACTACAAGCATGCCTATAAAATGCAAATTGTCTAGACGTGTTTTCCACACAAACTAAATAAAGATCACCAGAATGAATATTTGACTATTTGACTATTATCTAAAGCAAAAAACGTAAGAAAAACATTTTTATAGCACGTTACTATGAAAACACAAGTCCTAACAAGCAGCTTATTTCTAACATACACATTGTCAAGTAATTTTTAAATTCTAATCCAGCCTTTTGCCAAGTATCATTCTAATACGAGAGAAATATAGGGCAAATATTCCACACAGAACACGCAAATGGAAGGAGGAAAAAATAGTACC